ATATATATATATATATATATATATATATATATATATATATAGTTAAGTTAAAGAACTTGGTAAACTGAATGGGTAATTCAAGGAGGATGAAATCTTGAGAGCTCAATATGAATCCAGAGCTAATATTAATGAAATAAACAGACCACTTTAAAGTACCATTACAATATATATATATATATATATATATATATATATATATATAATTACATTAATTATTATATTATTTTTTGCATAACATGTCTAGATTATTCAACCAAACTTGCTTGAATATATATATATATATATATATATATATATATATATATATATATATATATTATGAAATGGACAAATTCCGACAATTATTTTAAGACATTTTTTATGTTTATACTTTCTTTTATAGATACAAATATTTAAGTAAATGTTCTGTTTATAATAAATAATTCAGGCCGGTAAATGTTGTTTAATACTGTTTATTATAAACAGAGCATTTCTCCGGGCATCATCTGGCAAAGAAACTATTTTATTTTTAATAAAATTCAGGTAGAATCCGTGACGAAAATATATAATGCAAATCGAAATATGTTATTTGGAAGTGTGTTATTGATAACATATGCAAACTTGTGGAGCATGCATTCCTAACGCTAAGGTTGAATTTCTCAAAATTTAAGTGAGAGCGTTTTTTCCTAATATGACAATTTAAGTATTTTTTGTCGTAAGTGTTTATAACTAAATAAATCTATATATATATATATATATATATATATATATATATTGTATTTATTTAGTTATAAACAAACCCGGGGGAATAAAAGCCAGACAATATATTAGATTATCTTCTTAATTTTGTTGCATCACGAATAAAAAAAAAATATGATGCATTTTCTGTTATTGCTTATCTCCATTTTTAAGATCTGTTGTAACAATATTACTTCAAACAAGATGATAATCTTTATAAATCAGATCAGATCATAATGTTTATAAAACATAAAACAAGAATTTACAGTGAGTCTTATAACATTTCATGCACATGCCAAACTTTGTTTAAATAAAAGAAATACGTGACGAATAGACGCATATACATTTATAGAAGAAGCACCCGAAAGAGCATAAAATAAATTAAGATTAAGAAAAGTTATGCCTTGTGAAAATTTCAGCATTATTTTGAAATTTTCAGAAAAAAATTATATAGCCATCTGTTGTCCTACATTACAGTCTGCGATGGGTAAATTGTCGATATTTTATATGTTTAATTTCGCGCTTGCTCGTTGTTTGTTTTTGATTTTGTCCACTACACATGTAGTAGGGTCAGTTGGGCACCTTCTGTGAAAATGGAAGTTTTATTTACCAATACCGACCAGAAATAAAATGAAAAAATATATTCGATATATTGAGAAAGTAAAAAAAAAAGATGATCAAAGAAATGTCGTCATTTTTTAATCAAACGTACGTACATAAATAATTGCAAGTTAATTACAACCATATCTTTCTTTCTTTTTCTTTTCTATCTATCTTTCTATCTATCTATCAAAAATATATAATGCAAAATAAATCTGATTTATGAAATGTGTCATTGATAACAGATACAAACTTTTGGAGCGTGCAGTCACAATGCTAAAATCATATATATATATATATATATATATATATATATATATATATATATAAAAATTATGCATTGTTCTTTTGGTGCACAGGCAATTGTAAGTAGCTACATGACTACATTTATATTAAGAATAGCAATTATAAATATTAAATATGTGGTGCAGTTCACTTTTGTATTACAATGAATCTTTCATACAAAAGTAGATTAGTAAAGTTAATGATATAAAATGGCGAAATCCCTTCGCTAACAAAATTTTAAAGGTGCATTAACCTAATAATCACTCGATGAATGTTATGATCCTTGTTTTTAAAAATTATAAGCTGTATAAGGTCTTTTTTTTATTAATACGCAAGTACTTTCGACAGTGCATTCAGTCATCTTCAGCCATGGAAAGTAATTTGTTTTTAGTAAAATTCACGTAGCTTCCGAGACGAAAGATTATAATGGGAATCGAGATATGTTTTTTTTTTTTTTAAATGTCTTATTGTTAACGGATACAAACTTTTGGAGGCCAGTCACAACGCTAAGGTTGTATTTTTTTGGAAATTTAAGAGATTGCATTTTTACTAGTATGGCAATTTGAGAAATTTTTTTTTTTTTGTTATAGGAGTTTATCAGTCAATGTAGCATGAACTAAATAGTTCAGTAAGTAGAGTCATGTCTCAGTTGTCATCCCGAAAATTTGCACGTCGGATCAGTTCTTTTAAATCAAATATGTGTTGCAGTTCAATTTCTATTACAATGAATCATTCATACAAAAAGAAAATTAGTAAAGTTAATGAGATAAAAATGCGAATACACTTGACTAACAAAATTTTTAAAAATACATTAACCCACCAACCACTCGATGAATGTTATGATCCTTGTCTTCCTTAAATATACAAGCACCTTCGACGCTTCCTCCGGTCATCTTCAGGTATGCAAACTTTCCTTTTTAGCAATATATATATATATATATATATATATATATATTTGTCAAGCAATCTTTCTTTTATACAACTTTCATTGAAAACCTCTGACATGTTACTGCCTTTTAAGCTTTTAATTTTACTTTTCTCGTGTTCGTATATATTTTTTTCTATTTTCTGGACAAGAGGTGTGTAGAACTGTCCGAATGTTTTGTAGGACCAAGCGCTTTCGGCTAATCTTTTACCCATTATCAAGCACTTTTCTTTTTTTTAATTCTAACTTAGTGTATGGATTTTTATGTAATTATCTAGATACGGACATATTTTTTATAGATCTTTATATAAAAATCTATACGTATACAAAAACAATTAAATACATATACAGTCGGTACATTTTCAGTCGTCTTTAATTATATATATATATATATATATATATATATATATATATATATATATGAGAGAGAGAGAGAGATGGGGAGACAGAGATATAGAGAGATAGAGGGTGAGTGTGACTGATGGAATACACGTGCGTGAAGAGATAAATGAATGAAAATAGATCTGAATAGACTTCAACAGACTGGCAGTCAGATAGATAGATAGATAGATAATGACGAGAATGTGATAGATAGATAGATAGATAGATAGATAGATAGATAGATAGATAATGAAGAGAATGAGATAGATAGATAGATAGATAATGAAGAATGAGATAGATAGATAGATAGATAGATAGATAGATAGATAGATAATGAACAGAATGAGATAGATAGATAGATAGATAGATAGATAGATAGATAGATAGATAGATAGATAGATAGATAGATAATGAACAGAATGAGATAGATAGATAGATAGATAGATAGATAATGACGAGAATGAGATAGATAGATAGATAGATAGATAGATAGATAGATAATGAAGAGAATGAGATAGATAAATAGATAGATAGATAGATAGATAATGACGAGAGATAGATAGATAGATAGATAGATAGATAGATAGATAATGAAGAGAATGAGATAGATAGATAGATAGATAGATAGATAATGACGAGAATGAGATAGATAGATAGATAGATAGATAGTGAAGAGAATGAGATAGATAGATAGATAGATAGATAGATAGATAATGACGAGAATGAGATAGATAGATGATAGGATAGATAGATGGATAATGACGAGAATGTGATAGATAGATAGATAGATAGATAGATAATGAAGAGAATGAGATAGATAGATAGATAGATAATAGATAATGAGATAGATGGATAGATGGATAGATAGAATGAGATAGATAGATAGATGGATAGATAATGAAGAGAATGAGATAGATAGATAGATAGATAGATAATGACGAGAATGAGATAGATAGATAGATGGATAGATAGATAATAATGACGAAGAATGTGATGGATATGGATAATGATAGAATGAGATATGATAGATAGATAGATAGATAGATAATGAAAGAATGGGATAGATAGATGGATGGATAAATGAATGATATGGAGAATGATAGATAGATAGATAGATAGATGGATGGATGAGGAATGGGATGGATGATAGATAGATAGATAATGAAGAATGAGATGGATGGATAGATGGATAGATAGATAGATAGATAATGAATGAGAATGAGATGATAGATGGATAATGACGAGAATGAGATGATGGATGGATAGATGATAGATAGATAGATGAAGATAATGGAGATAGATAGATAGATGGATATAGATAAATGAGAATGTGATAGATAGATGGATAATGACGAGAATGAGATAGATAGGATGGATGGATGGATAGATAGATAGATAGATAGATAATGACGAGAATGAGATAGATAGATAGATAGATAGATAGATAGATAGATAGATAGATAGATAATGAAGTGAATGAGATAGATAGATAGATAGATAGATAGATAGATAGATAGATAGATAATGACGAGAATGTGATAGATGATAGATGGATAAATGTGGATAGATAGATAGATAGATAGATAGATAGATAGATAAAGACATGAGACAAAAGGATAAGACGAGAAAGATATATAGATAAATAGATAAAGAATTAAAGAATAAACATAGCTAGCTAGCTAGCTAGATAGATAGATAAAAAACTAAGATAGATGAAGACATGAGATAAAGAGATAGAACACGATTATTAACACGAGTAAGCTATATAGATAAATAGATAAAGATATAAAGAACAAGCATAGATAGATAGATAGATAGATAGATAGATAGATAGATAGATAGATTAGAAACTGTTATACTGGAAAAAGAGCAAATTGATGGTCTTTCTGGTGTAACATCAATATGGGATTCGGGAAGATGGTAAGTGGCGTGGAATAGAGGCGGTCGTCTTAAGATGAGGACAGCTTAGTGCATTTCATGAATTATGAATTCGCCTCAAAGGACAAAGAACGACGGGTCATTGAGAAAATGGAAGATCAAGTCGATGAGTAAATGGGTGTTTCGTTATGTGCTCTTGGTGATTGGCACGTGCATGCCCAGTGTGAGTGCGTGTGCCTAGCGACATATGTGTATTGATATGCGTATATAGAGAGGTGGATAATACCTCTCTTGTGCCGTCTCTGTTCTCAAAATCTATTGTGATCTAGCTTTCGCTATTTATATGTCTATCTCAATCTCTTCAATAATGCCTTGGCTCTCCAAGAATTCTTTTGCCTATATTCTTGTAGTAGTAGTAGTAGTAGTTGTTGTTGTTGTTGTTGTTGTTGTTGTTCTTCTTCTTCTTCTTCTTCTTCTTCTTCTTCTTGTGTTTTATTCTTTCCTTTCAGGAGCTGAATGATTCGGTTTTCCACCTGGTTTTTCTAACAAAAATGTAGATACATTGCACCGTATCAGAATGCAATTAATATATTAATAATAATAATAATAATAATAATAATAATAATAAAAATTATTATTATTAATAATAATAATAATGATAATAATAATAATAGATTATTATTAATAATAATAATAATAATAAACTATTATTATTATTAATAATAATAATGATAATAATAAAAATAAATTATTATTAATAATAATAATAATAATAATAAAAAACTATTATTATTATTAATAATAATAATGATAATAATAAATTATTATTATTAATAATAATAATAATGATAATATTAATAATAATAAATTATTATTAATAATAATACTAATAATAAACTATTAATAATAATAATAATAATAATAATAATAATAATAATAATAAATTATTATTAATAATAATAATAATGATAATAATTACAATAATAATAAAATAATGAATTCCTAGTAGCCTCTACATGCAAGAAATTCAAAAAAACTGTACTCACAAGTACAGCCTTGTCGATGTAAAATGTTTGATCTTAGTGGGTTTTTTTTTCCTTTTTTTCGTTTGTTTTTACAAAAATGATCATGAAAAAAATGTCATGAAGACATTTCTTAACTTTGGTCTCTGGTTGGAACCCGGAAGGAAATGAATATACAACAGAAACCCAAGGAAATAATAATAATAATAATAATAATAATATTAATAATGTGCTTTCTTATTGACATGGCAGTTCCTGCAGATTGTAATGGATCTTTGAAGATCTTCAAAAAGCTATCAAAATACAAGGATCTTAAAATGGAAATCTCAAAAAATGTGGTACATGAGGACATCAATAATCAGTTGTAGTTCAAGCCCTTGGATAGAGTGGAAAAGGTTCATAAACTCAATAAAGGGATTCCTGGCAGACCATGCCAAAAAGAAATACAAAAAATTGTATTCCCAAATACAGCTCACACATGAAGAGCTTTATCTATGTAAAATGCGTGTGATCTTAGTTTGTTTGTTTTTTTTTTTTGTTTTTTTCAAAAATGATTAGTGGAAAATGTCATGAAGCTATTTCTGATTTTAGGTTTTTGGTTGAAACCCGGAAGGAAATGTGTATACAACTGAAACCCAAGGAAATAAATAATAATAATAATAATAATAATAATAATAATAATATGAAACAAAATGATTGACGTAACTATTCCAATAATTTTCAACACTTAGAGAAGAGAGTGATCTACAAAATTAAAACGAAAAGGACAGTGTTTGATGTCAAAATATTGTTTAACATTTTCAAACAATGTCTTTTTTTTTTCTTTTCCTTTTCTTAAATCACGCTATTCTCCGTTTTATGATTATTATTATTATTATGATTACTGTTGTTGTTGTTGTTGTTTTCTTTCCTTTGGTTTCAGGTGTATGCTCATTTCTTTCCGGGTCCCGACCAGAGACCTAAGACCTAAGGTCAGAAATGGCATCATGACATTTTCCACTGAGCAGTTTTGAAAAAAAATATCGCACATATATTACATAGATAAAGCCATTCGTAAGGTGTGGGCTGTACTTGTGAGTACATTTTTTCCCTAAATCTTTAACGCATGAGCTACCAGGAATCCCTTCAATGAGTCTATTGAAATATCTTCCAATCAATCCGAGGGCTCCAACTACAACAAAAAGTGTTAATGTCCTCATGCGCCACTTTTTTGAGATTACGATTTCAAGATCCATTTATTTTGAAAGATTTTTGAATATATTCAAAGATACCTTGCAGTCTGCAAATACTGCCAGGTCAATAAGGAGACACATTTTGTCTTTTCGGTCTCAAATCACGATGTCAGGGTGATTAGCTTAGATTGTTCTGTCTCTGTGTATTGTAAAGTATCATAAAAATTGTCATGGTCCTATCTCCGTAACCGGTTCTTGGTGGTGTTCATACCAATTTTTTACCGTTTCCTTTCCGTATGTGTTGCAGATTTCCCAGTGCAGATATCGGGCCAATCTGTAGTGTCGTGATTTATATTCAGTGTGTGCCAATACCGCGCAACCTGATACAAAATGGCCACTTGTTTCTGAATTTTTATCACAGAATCTGGATTTTGGAGTAACAGTATTTTTCAGTATGTGTGATTGGTAATTTCTAGTTAGCAAGTATTCGCCCTGTGCAGCAAGAATAAAAACCTTATTATTATTATTATTATCATTATTATTATTAAAAATGATTGACGTAACTCTTCCTATACATTACAACACTTAGAGCTGAAGAAAGAAACAATCATTTTTAATTACCAGCTAATCAACTGACGGAAAGTTTCAAGATGAGTATGGTCACCATTATGCGTTTTCACCTTTCGCTTGCATTCCATTCACAGTGGCTTCTTTTCCTTCGCTTTCTCGCATTAATTGTTGGTTCAATCGTTTTTCTCAAGACAGGCGACATTTGCACAAAGCCTTGTATTTTTTATAGGATTCATAAAGCTAACCGCCCAGACATTGTTATTAGAGACAGCAAACAAAAAAAAAATGCAGACTGCAATGTATCTTTGAAGATCTACAAAAAGCTATCAAAATACAAGGACCAAGGAAATAGAAATCTCGAAAATATGTCAAATGGGAACATCAACAATCCATTTTGTAGTTGGAGCCCTCAGATTGGTTGTAAAAGATTCCAGTAGGCTAATCGAAGGTATTCCTGGAAGTCCATGCATTCAAAGAGATACAAAAAATTGTTCTGACAGGTACAGCCCACACTTTAAGAAGGTCTTTATGTAATTTTTTTTTTGTCAGTGGAAAGTGTCATGGTGTCATTTCTAACCTTAGGTCCCTGGGCGGGACCCGGAAAGAAATGTGTAAACGCCAGAAATCAAAGAAAATAAAAATGATAATAATAACAATTGATCATCTTGTATCAGGTGCACGATATTGGCACCCACTGAGTATAAAACCTGGCATGACAGAGTGAGCTATCTGCACTGGAAAATATGCAAATTTTACGGGAAGGAAACTGAAAGAAACTGGTATGAACACCACCCAGCCCAGGTTTCCGAGATAGGACCTGTTACAATTCCATGGGACTACACAATACACACTGACAGAACAATCAAGGCCAACCGCCCGGATATTGTTATTAAAGACCACAAACAAAAAAGTGCCTCCCTGCAGACTGCAATGTATCTTTCATGATCTTCAAAAAGCTATCAAAATACAAGCACCTTAAAATCGAAATCTCAAAAATATGTCAAATAGGAACATCAACAATCCATGTTGTATTTACAGCCATCGGATTGGTTGGAAAAGATTCCAGTAAACTAATTAAAGGGATTTCTGGAAGTCCATGCCTTAAAGAAATAAAATCTCATGAGTACGGCCCATACCTTACGAATGGCTTTATCTATGTAAAATATGTTTGTGGATTTTTATTTATTTTTTCATTGGTCAGTGGAAAATATCATGATGCCATTTCCTACCTTAGGCCTTTGGGCATGACCCGGAAAAAAATGTGAACACACCAGAAATCAAAGTAAATAATAAAAATAATAATAATAATAATAATAATTGTTATTATCATCATCATTATTATTATTATTATTATTATTATTATTATTTACGCATATTACAATATGTATGTTATACACACTTTAAATACTGGTTCCTCAGATAAAAGATATTTTACTTAACTTGGCTTCATTTATATTTGTATTAATAGCTTAAAGTATATCTCTTCTACAGGACTATATTAAAATGTGTTTAAATCATTTAATATCCGAAAAGAAATTATAATAATATGAGTATTGAATATGTGTGCCGTACCTGGCCTGGTCCCCCTGTAATATACCGAGAAATTCTCAACAAAATTCAATGAAGGCTCAGCAATGCCATCAGTCTTGACCTGTCATTTCGGCTTCAGTCACTTTACCGCCGCCACAAAGTGATTTCCCTGTCTCTTTTCTATACATATTTTCAGGTCCATTCTATTCTTTGGTACCTCGGCCGCATGAATTTAGCCGTACTGCTAGATTAGCAAAAAGGTTTCATCGTTTTACAGTTAAAATAGCTAGACGCAACTGTAGGTTCTATTGTAATAGGTTATTCTCTTTCTGTTTCTTGCTTCCACGTTAATGTTGTTCGTCAAAAGTTTAAATGCAATGGCAATCGATATCTCCTCTCCTCTTAATTTCTCTTCTTTTATTGTCCGCCATCTTTAAAAATGAGTTTTATTCTCATATTCCACCTACGATCGTCAAAAATTTAAATACATCAATCGCCATCTTCTGTTTTTCTAAATTTCTGTTCTTTTATTGTCCTACACTACCGTCTTCTCATTCTTTTTAAATCTCGATAATCGCTGACGTCTTAGGAGTATTACTCAGCATTTTTTTTTCTTTTTTTCTTTTTTTTTTTGGTGGGGGATAATATTTTATTTTGGTGAAAAACAACGGCGGAACACAGCAGATTATCTTTTATATCTGTCCTCATACATGACATCGAATGCTGGACAATCCCCTCAAAGACGAAGAAAAGACTCGGAGCAACAGAAATGTGGTTCTACAGAAGGATGCTGAGGATACCATGGGCCGAACAGGTGAGCAACGACGAAGATATATATAGAATGAAATCAAAAAGGAAACTAATACTTAACATCAGGAAGAGCGAGTTGAAATTTCTAGAGCAGTTAT